GAGAGAGAGAGAGAGAGAGAGAGAGAGAGAGAGAGAGAGAGAGAGAGAGAGAGAGAGTGGTGGTCTGCTTGTGTGTGATACAGCTAGAAAAAGTAAAGTTAATTAGCAACTCAGTCCCAGTCTATATACAGAGGATGGACTGAGCAGCGAATATGAGACAATACCGTCCTGCACGTGTCCATCAGCTTGTATTAAAGGCTGCAGTTAGCTGTATAGCTAAAAAAAATAGTAAAAAAAAAGGAACTACATGTCCCAGCTGCCTGCCTGTAATGACACTGTTTATGCAGCTGTGGTGCTGTTAAAAACCCAAGGAAAATAATTGTTTTTATAAGCATGATTTTGTAAATTTTTTCCCATTTTTCCTTCCTATTCGCCTCTTCACTCCCCCTTTGAGTCTTGTGAGTTTCGGTGTTAAAAACCCGAACAAGGCCAATAAAATCAGTTTGTAGTGCTCACCGTTGGCTCAGACATTAAATAAGATCCTGTAAAAAGCCGAGCTTACAGCCACAATAAAACAAAAAATAAAAGACTTCTTGCGAGGATGCGCTCGCTCCCCGTTACCCTGAACACCTTTACAGGCGAACTCCTTGCCCCCACCCCCCACCCCCAACCCCTTTAAACCACAGCTGCTCTTTCATGGGTGATGAAATTCAATAAGCTGTGTGGGGGGGGGGGGGGGGGACTGCCCTCTCGCTGATAACCATCAATAGACTCATCGATCTACGGTGGCACGAGTGTGCACGCGCAAACACACCGTGATCTCATCTATAATTCACTGTGGGACTTGGTAACAGACGGCTCGGAATAATCAGAACAGATCTATACATCTCCGAGGAGTGCACGGAACACTGATTTTAGCTGACGTTTGCCCCCCTCCTGACTCCGTACACACTGGAAGAAAAAATAAATTGGCGCACTAATGTTACATTTTCAAGCATTATTAAAATCATCGTGCGAGACAATGACTGAATACGAGTTTCTGCACAATAGAATCGAAAAGTCAGACGCAAAGCAAAAGAGTTCCTTTTCAGATCTTACAAGCATGCTGAAACACGTGTAACGCAATAAAAGCTGATGCAGAAATACACCCAGGCTTCAAGATGMACTGAGTCAACATCACTTATTCACCATCCAGCGAACCTGGACCGCATCCAAACGTCTGTGTGTCACACTTAAAAAGAAGTGCTTTGTAATTACATCACAAGCGCTGAGGCTTCAGTGCGACTCAACGCTGGAGGGAAAATGTGTGTGTGTGTGAAATAATAGCAATTCATGGTTTTGTTGCTGGGATCTTAAAGCTGTGTTTGGATTCAGTATAAACCACTAGAAATCTATTAGCTGTGGTTAACATCAGAAAGCGTTAAAAGGAGGGTGGGAGGGAATAATCTGAGCAAAGTGAGTGTGGGTGAGTGTGTCATCTGCACAACAGATTGAGCGAGCGTGCGGGCCAAACACTACGTCTTTTTTTTTTTTTTTTTTGCAGCATCATAAACTGCCAAGGAGGGTTTGTGTTTATATTTCAGCCTCTGTGTGTGTAAAGGCGAGAATAAAATGGCTGCCATCGTTTTCTTCTTTTTTTTTTTTTCTTCTGCAAGGCCATCCCTGTGTGTGAGCAGTGGTCTGATGCGTTTGACCCTAAAGCCTCAGAGCTGGCGGAGGATGGGGAGGAGGAGGAGGAGGAGGGAGAACAGGTGTGAGGCAGGCTGGTGGCTGGGCAGATGGCCCCTGGAAGTGCTAGATGATGCTGCGGAGTCTGGACCACGGAGCAGCTTTAATACAAGCCTGTTCCTCAAATCCAGTGATAACCTGCGGACAGCATCTGTCATTCACTCTCCGTCTGTTTACCTTTCATTTATTCCCTCTTTATCTTTATTGACACTACAGGTCACGGCTATAATTTAAACCTTATGGTTTAAATTGAAGGAAACAGACGATGCAATGCTCAGCCGCAGCATCCATGTTGCGTATGACCTCTGAGGATAAGGATAATTACTGGTAGTGAGTGAAAACTGGAAGGAAATGAACAAACATTTGAAAATATCCAATAATCAGTGTCATCACATTACCTGTCGCATGGAAGTGCAATAAACCACGGGCTGTGATTCAAACATTCACATTTGTTTTAGTTTTGACTTAGATTAGAGCAGCTGTGAGACAAAACAGAAAGAACTGACTGGAAAAACGTGGATTTATCACAACTGCTATTRCCATCATCAACAACCAGCCCTAATATTAGCCCAGATTGTAAATAAAACAGCAGAAAGACACCTGTGTGTTGGATTATATCACAGAGAAACTTGCTTATAAATGATTCCTTGTTTGTTTCAGTTCATATCAGACACCCTGTGCGTTTAAGATGAGTTATAAATGCAAATGTTTTTTTCTTTCTTTTCAAAAGACCATTTTGAAGCATAAATAAAAAATGTCCAAGCTGTGTGGTTCTTAAAGAGATCTTTTCTTTCTCCATCTCTAATCTGAGCCGTGAGAACAGTCTGCAGCAGCCTCCCACTCTAAAACCCGCATGTCTGCTCTTTTCCCAGCCAGGGCCAAAGATTCCCACTGGAGTAAAAATACACAGCAACAAGCCTTTAATTTCAAGACGATGTCTTTCTTTAAAGGGAAGTAGAAGGAAATGGGAAGAGGATAAAAAAAGATTTTTTGGGGGGGAGGGTGTTGTAATGACAAAATCCCAAGGACTGGAAGAATTCACATGAAGATGTGTTTGACAGTTGGGGCACAGCTCATGAAAATGTTCTGTATTTTAAAAAAAAATCTTTTGTAATGCTTTCCAGGACTCCAAATGAGCAGAAGCTGCAAACTTCCTGCAGCCTATTTTATTTCTTAGTGATTCTTTGCATTTTAACAAGCTACTTGAACATAACTGATAATCTCCCCCAACAATATTTAGTTAAACAGACTCAGAGACATTTGATGAGAACTGATAATAATGAGCCACAAATAAGTTAAACAGCAAACTCGAATTAGATTATTTTCAACAATCTGCAACTTTGGTCGAAAATCTTCTTAATAATTCTTTCTCTTAATTTTTATTTCTAAGTTTTCTCAGGGAACAAATTTATTCAATGGTAGCAAAATGTGTCCTTTACTTCTAGAATGGTTTTAAGCCTTGTTTCAACAGCAGGTCATTCTGAAGACTAATAAGAAGAATGGGAATTTGCTATAGCTATAAGATAATTACTCAACATTATAAGAAAATGTATAAAAATAATCTTTTTGTGAGTGWGCATCTGTTCCCCACCAGTATTTTTTAATTTTTTTTTTATTTATTTAATTTTTATTTAATTTTTTTAATTTTTTGTAAATTATGAGAGAACATGGAGAGAGCCGACTTACACTGAAAGGAGGATGAAATTCCCACCATGCGGCACGACGATCCGGCAGGCTTTAATAATTTCCAGTCCTTTTGAGTCGCACAAGACGATCCGCCCGCGTCGGGGAAAGCGCACAGTCCAGCCAGCTCCCCGGGGCTGTGGAGCTCCACTTTCCAACAGCTCAGAAAAACAAAGGAGTGAAACTCCAACAAGAAAAAAGAGGAGAACGATTCAAAAGAAGAAGAAGAAGAAGAAGGAGCTGTAGGTGAATAATCGCCGAGGTTCAGGGTGGGAGAGGTGAGGGGAGGATGCTGGAAGCTGCTTTCTTTTTCTTGCCTTCTTAAACCTTCTTCCAACAAAACAAACAAACAAAAAAAAATCCTTAAAGTAGTTTCTTCTCCGGGTGTAGAACCTTGTGTTGTGAATCAGAGAGAAATCACGCGCACAGCCTCGGTGTCGGGTTTGTTGGGTTCTGCTTGTCTCTCCTGGAGCGGGGAAGAGGAGTAGCAGCGCTCTGCCTGCAGTCGGCGGTGCGCAGCAGAGCCAGGTGGTGATGGGCGGGACTGGGGGGCTGCTGAGGAGGAGGAGGAGGAGGAGGAGGAGGCATGGGCAGCAGCCAGCATCTGCGTGTCCTAAAACAGGTCGGGGAAAGCGGGGGTCAGGGTAAGTCAAGGTGTTTTTATATGCAGCATCTACCTGTGGACCCTGARTAGTCCTCAAGTCCAAGTCCCACAGGAGGAGAACCTTCAAAGAGCTGAATCTACCAAACATGTCCTGGACGTGGAGTTTTTTGGCATCTTTTTTTGCCCACACTTATGTCAGTTCATTTTAGACAGTGCAGTTTTTCCATCCATCCATCCATCCATCCATCCATCCATCCATCCATCCATCCATCCATCCATGGTATTGGATTTTATAAAAACAATACCATGGATGGATGGTATTGTTTTTGACATTGACTTGACTTATATACCTGTAAGTCAAGGTATATAAAAACACCTTGACTTACCCTGACCCCCGCTTTCCCCAACCTGTTTTGGATCCATCCATCCATCCATCCATCCATCCATCATCCATCCATCCATCCATCCATCCATCCATCCATCCATCCATCCATCCATCCATCCATCCATCC